CTGTTAAAAACGACGACGACGTCGACCACGCCAACCGAAATAGCGGTGAATAATAGATTTTAAGAACTAAAATTGCTTCTGGTAATTCAACTCATTGAAATAAGAAAATTTTATTTGGTTAATATTTATTTAAAAAAAATTTAATTAATTTATTAAAATATATATGTCGAATAAGATTAAGTATTTGCGTTATTTATTTTATATTAATTTCAAACTTTTATGTTAAAACGTATGAAAATCAAAAGAAGCTTTCATTATATAAGATAGCTAAGACAAAAAGCTTTTGTAGCTAATTTCATTTATATCAAATACTCAAAATATTTTTTTCAAATGGATCTGTACCAGAAAAAAAAAATTTCCATACGTTGGCATAGTCATCTATGCTTCACTTAAATTAAAATCGAACCATGGAAACGATTGCTGTCTCACTACGCGGAAGGTCCATATCCCAGAAATCCTTTCTTATTGAATGCCTACATTGTACGCAGAACAGGCTTTCTATGTTTCAGACCCCTAGAACCGAAAGTTTAGGCTATGGTTTGAACCGTCAGTCATATATATATAAATATAAATGTTATATTAGCGTAAGTGGTATTTCCGGCATTGAACCAATACTTGTAAAATATAGTAAATATAAAAATAATAAGAATATTATATTTTCGGTTAAAAACAAAATCATTTTAAAACCTCTGCTCAAGATATTTTTAGGGCCTAAGCTGGTAATAAACAAGTTAAAATAAATAAAATTTATAATTAAAAAAAATAATAAGAAAATTGGTAAAACTTAATTTTCTAAAATCAAAAAAAAAAAAAAAAAAAAATAATAATAATAATAATAAAAAAACACCAAATATTAAAAGCTTGAAACAAAAGTATTTGAAGAAAAGAAAAAATAGCGATTTGTGAAGTATTTATATCATTTCTCGCATTTATTTTCCTTTTGGCGCAGCGCAACACATTACAATATATATTTTTAGATTTTTTTTTTTTAAATTTTTTTATATAAATTTTTTCTCTGATTTCACCATTTGCTAACCTCTTTTGAGCATTTTACATATATTCGAATTAATTATTTAGTGAATTTGGGTATGCCATTTGGTTTATTAGTTTTGTAGTAATAGTATTTAATTGAAAATGAAACACCAGTATATCGGAGGTTTTTCGCTTTGTAAATTTATTCATTTGTATTGCATGCACTAAGATGTATGCGTTTATGCATGTATGTGTGTGTTTATAATTTAATTTACATAAATATTTCAATTAAATTATTCTCCTAGCTTCTTCCACAATTTATATGTGAACTCTTTTTTTTTTAAATATTTCTTCAATTCTGGCGGTGAAATTTAATTTGCTCGCATATACGCAAAGCTCAATAAAGTTCGTATGTACATACATACATATGTATATACTAAAATGTTTTGAATAAAAAATACTTCATTTTTTTTTTCTAAATAAGTGCAATAATTATTTGTATTTATATGTACCGTGTATTTACAGTGATATTCTCAAAAAAAAAAAAAAAATAATTTCAACATTAATAATTAAATAATGTGCTTTTTTCATTTTCTATGGATTTGTGAAGTGTTTTTGACCGCATTTTGCCAACGCAGCGCTATTGAAGTGTAGTAAAAAATTTGATTTTGTTTGTTATAAATAAAATAATGAAGTTCACAATGATAATAATAAACTGGAAACAGATTTTTTAAATAAAAACAAATTCGATAGAAACTTAAAACTCTCCTTGTGGTATTAACTATTACCTATTGAAGGTTTTATTCAAGTATGAAATATTAATAAATTAATAATAAATAATTTAATTATATTTTATTTATTATTAATTAAATTTGAATACGCGTCTCTGTGTTCTTATTTTCAAAATGTGATTCCATCTGCTCAAGCAATCAAAAAAAAAAATAAAAATAAAAAATAAAACAAAAATAAATAAATAATGATAAAAATAACAATAACAGTAGTAATGAATGAATTAATAAAAATTAAAAAAAAAATATAATAGTGATAAAATTAAAAATAAGAAAAATAATATTAATTATTATTATAATTATTATTATCATTAAGAATTAAATATAAAAATATAAAATTTAATAACGCTATTTATAATAATAATAACACTAATAGCAATAGTAGTAATAATAATAATAATATTAATAATATTAATAATAATAAGATAAATAGTAATATTAATAATTTTTATAATAATGGTAATAAAAATAAAAATAATAATAATAATATCATTAACAATTAAATATAAAAATTATAATGATATTAATAATAATGATAATAATAATTGTAATAATAATAATAATTATAATAATAATAATAATAATAATAATAATAATAATAATAATAATAATAATAATAATAATAAAAATAAGAATAAAAATGATAACTAGTATTATTATTGCAATAATATTAATAAAAAAAATAATATTGATCGTAATAATAGCAATAGTTAAAACGATAAGAATTATTTTATTAATAAAAAATAATAATTATTTTTATAGACAATAATATTAATAAAAATAATAGTAATAGTGATAATAATAATAATATTGTTATTTCAAATAAAGGACATACAAATAATATTAGTAGTTAGCATAATAATAATATGGTTATAATAATAAATGTGATATATCTTTGCCGACATTTATTTTATTTTATTTTGAATTCTAATAGTTTTCCAGCTTGAGGTCGATAAAAATTAGAAACAAAGTATTAATTTAAATATCGGGAGCCGTCTTCTATTATATAATAAATTATGCATAGTTATAAATACATACATTAGTTCGCACGTTCTAACCATTTATTGCTTAACAACGTTGTAAAACAGTCTTTTTATGGCTTAAAATTGAAAGCAATTCCAAAAAACGTTGCCTACATTTTGGCACAATAACAAAATTTTTTCCTTCAACTGTCGAAAATGTAACGAAATTTAAATGAATTTAAAAAAAATGGTTGAATAAACTAATCTAAATTTTAAGCTAACAAACTTTGTCCTCACAACGAAATTTGTTCTCAACGCAAAGACGGCTAAGAATGAGTAATCTGTTATGAACATGTAATAGGGTGTCTTAAAATTAACGCAAAATCACAATCTGAAGGCTAAAAGCTGTGGTTTCTATGAAATTCAAATCTTGCGTTGATTTTGGGGCACTCTATATTAGCTTGCCGATGTAAAAGAGCCTCAAAATCTCACGACGTGCTCAATAGTGGCAGAAGTTAGATATTAAGCTCAGCCAGTCTACTAGAGCTCTATTCATCTGTACCATCCGAGTGTTACGGGGAAAGTTGTGTGTGCAAAATTTTTTATAAATAAATAAAACAATTATTTAAAAAATAATTAAAAAAGCCTATATAAGAGGCAACATTGCTGTCTATAGAGAGTTCACGTTTCACGGAATATACATGTCTCAATTCGCTGTTGAATACTCTATTACGACGGTAAGTAGCAACAGTGCCAAGCTGTGGGAACTTTACATTTACATGGCGCTCTCATAGACTGGCAAGTATCAGTTGAGTCGCTGTGCTTTTTCCTGTTGAGCGCTTTATAAAAAATTGAAAGATTTTTTTGTTTTGAGTTTCAATTCATTTTCAAGAGTTTTTATTTAATATCGTTTAGCAAATTATACATGGTTATGGCAAAATGTGTAGCGGCATTGAAAAATATAATTATGTAAGAGTTAATAAAATTGAATTTTAATTTAGAAAAAAAAAACTCTTAAATTTAATTTTTATATGCAAAAATTGTTACTTAATAGAGGCAAATTTATTATGCACTAAATTTGTGTTTTTTTTACAAATAATTATTTTATAAATACACATATTTCATATATAAATACACTTATATTACTTACATTTAACCATTGTATATCTTAAGAGCTGCTAAATTATTTATTCATTTTTTTTTTAAATTTATTTTATGTTATTTTATTTTTATTTCATTTTTTCAGTTTGGTTGCATGTTTTTTTTTTAAACTGTCTGTTTTTAATTGCTTAAAGCTAAGAGCTTTGGGATTTGCTGCACTTAAACCGATTGGCTTAAAATCTGTATTTTCACTTTTTTACTTCTTATGATCCGTGGTAAGTTTTTCAACTCTCTAAATTAACAAATTTTAAACACTTCGCTTAATATAAGTGCGTTTTTGTCTCATTAAGTTTATACCAAAACATAAGCATACAGTTAATTGAAGCTCGTCTTCAAATATTTATTATTTTTTTTTTAATTCTCTTATCAAGCGTCTAGTTTTGGTAACTTAAATATATTTCTTTTTTATTTTATTTAAATTTATTTTACTTTTCTTTTTACCATTTAGTTTTTTTTTATTTGTATTATTAGCGTTTTTCTCTTAAATTTAGTGTTTATTAAGTGTTATATACAATCATAAGCTAACTACGAATTATCTCTGCCTCTTTTTGAGTTTGTTTTTTGGTTTAAGCAAAACAGGTTTTGCTGAAATTTTTTAATTTATGACTCAAGTGTATTGTATTGTATTTACAGTGTTTGCTAAAATTCAAGTTCGAGGCATACAAATGCACTGGAATATTGCAAGAGATCGTTAATGAAAGTAGTATAATAAGTTGATATAACGAACATTAAAAGCTCTTAAAAAACTGAAATAGAAAAAATTTAAAAAAACGGTAATTCCATTGAAGTTGAGTTGAAAAAAAAAATATTTTTACTAAATGAAACAAAAGGGTTGAAAAATAAAAATTAAAACAAAAATCAATATATGTGTTGCACGTATCAGCGGATTAGCTATTTGCAAATTGAAACCAAATGTTACAACTTAAAATATAATTTAATTAAATAAAAACAATTACAATAACTATAAAAAAATGTAACTAAATTACAGTATAAAACATTAAAAAGTAAGGTAAATTAACATTTTATGAGGTTAAAAAATTTCAGTTTTTTCCTTAACTATTTTGAACCAATTTTTTTTTCAAATTCACTTTTTAATTACTTTTTTCAAGTAATACATAGGTTTTAAATTTTTATTTTTATATTTTTAATTTTTTCATTATATATTCTCAATACCACTGCTTAATCCTTACCAGCAGTATTCCACAAAAATACACATTTACATTTACGTCTGTAGTATCTCTGCATTATACGCAAGCACACCCATATTTGAGTAGTATATCCGTTACGCATTGCACCCGCACCCTCTGCCGCTGCCCTTAACCGATGCGCCTTCTGCTACTGAAGCGCAGCATTATCGCCGCCACGCCCGCCAGTGTTGTTGTGGCCATTGTCAGTCCATAGCCGCCCGATGACATATTGCTTTGCGCCTGATTACTGCGCACATCCATGAGATCGCGTGACAATGGCAACTCAGTTGGATCGCTCAACTCATCGTGACACGGCAGACGCTCCGGTTTGAGTGTGAAGAGACGTACTTTAATGCCGAGTGGTTTTGGTTTGTTCGCAGCATGTTCGGTGATTGTGTTGTGTGTCATGCCGAGCACATCGTTAGTTTGTTGATTGTACAAAGCGTTCTGTTTGAGTGCATCCAAACCGTCACCGAGTTCGACTTGTTGTGCGAGTAGTAGACCATGCGGCGCTGCATCACCGCCACCAATCATGCCGGCCGTTTCATCGTAATAATCATCTCTCAGCTTTGCGGGCATTACCGACTTCTTTTTCTTCTCGCCGACAATTTGTGCTGTCGCAATATCGGGTATGCCCGAAGCGGCTAAGAAAGCATTATTGAAAACCTCCGGTTGGCTGCTGGCAGCCACGCTGTGTTCGCCCTCAACTGCTGCCTCACGTTTGCTGAGTGAGAGTACATGTTCACTGTGTTCGGGTGTCAATGCGACGGCGGCGGCGTCGATCACATCAACATCTTCTGCAGTTAGCTGTGCTTGACCCAAACGTTGGCTACTGCCGTTAATGCCACGCTGTGCGCCGCCATTTTGTCGTGCTTTGGAGAAACGCTTGCGTCCACTATTGTTGTTGCCACTGAGATGGAATTCAGCGCTATTCATGCCATTATAACTCGAACCGATATTCAGTAAGTCCAAAATATGATTTGGGACGGGTTCAATGAAGTTCAAAATCTTCGGATCATGTAGAGTGCATACGAAACCCTCGAGTGCTTCACGTAACGCTATATGTCTTGTGCGATTCTTCAATTCAAATATCCATTGTAGCCGGCAATCGCAAATGAAGTTATTGTCTGCAAAGAAGAATGAAGGGAGAGAAGGAGTGATTAGTCTCGTAAAACTGTTGTTATACAGGCAATTGCTTATGTCTAGAAATGCTATGGTAAGTGTACTAGACATGCACTGATATACAATGTGTTCAGCCAATTTTGTAGGAACAAAATAAGCTGCATCCAAATGCAAAGCTCATATGAATACAAATCGGGCGAATATTGATGGATGGACAAATAGCAAATTGACAACCGGCTGGCGTTGCTTAAATTTGTTGGGCTCACCACTACGTGCATGCGTTACGCTGTACAGTTAGTATCGGTCTCGAGTATACCCTTCAAGCTATGGTCTTATTCATGCTGAAGAATCAGAACAATTTTCTTTGTTTTGTATCCTAAATATTCGAGCTAAATCTCTGATATACGAAGCTGCAAATGAAGAGAGATTTTTTTTGTTCTCCTTCACTACCTAAACCTTTTGTTCCGCTGCCTTAGACAGTTTGGAGAAAGCAGAGCCCACAGATCGGTTGTAAAGTCCTATGAAACCAATGCCCTCGGCATACGGCAGCAGTGGTATACTCTTATAAAATATCATCATAAGAGGCTTTGGTAGACTTTTCATTGGAATCAAATTTTTCATGTGGTGGATCTCTCTGCATAATCGCAGGAGAATGCACCTTATCATCCCCAAACGTATGTTTGTTGACTATCCAGAGGACACATGGTCTAAGACCCGATGTCATGAGCTGTAAAAAATGTAAAAGAAGCGTTTCAGGCCGCTTCTAGCAGTTAAAAAAATTTCTTCACTTGCGTCAATTTCTTTTCGGTGGTCACATCCTCCAGTTTTATAATACCGAATAAAAAAAAAATATTAAAAAAAAAGAAACAATTGGAGTTTATGACAAGAAGTCCAAGATCTACCAGCAATGTAGAAATGTTTGTTTAAGAAAACAAAAATAATATGTATATCGTTAGATTAGACACACTCAGACAACTAGATTAAAATGGTCTTGTAACGACAAAATATTTATATTTAAATGCCGCGATGTCAGTAGGAATGATAAAGAGAAAGTTAGTTACGACAGACAACCACTTACCAATTGTTTGTGGTTGGTGGAAAGAATTCTGTTTTTATAATAATCTTTTTAGACCTCAAACCGACCGAGGTCTGATGAAGTTTTAAAAATACCTATGATAAAATTTCCTCCTTTCTGATTTTCATGAGACATATAAAGCCTACAATTATGCGAATTTTGCTTTATTTATTTTTAAGATTACTGATGAAAGGATATTTCAAAGGTGATACCCTTATATTTTTCAGTAATTCTAGGTTTTTCCGGGTTGAAATTTCAAGATATTCTTGTCAATCTTTACACCCAGTCAGGTCTGTTAATACCGCGAGTGTCATTATGACATGGAAACTCCTTTTAAAAATATTAAAACCGCTTTGAAGTAATGTCTTTTCTAGTCTTTTTAACATATCATGGTCGCAGTGAGACACACAATCCGCCAAAAGGTTAGATTGGGTTGGGCTAAGCTGGCTTCCTCAGTGGGCCGCAGATAGCTGAAATATATCCATAGTGTTGTCGGGCACACTACATGCGACCAAGCTGTTCTGCTACACTCATTTCATGTCTCCAGTGTGAAGAAAATTGCTGCTCTTTTAGCGCCAAGTATGCTTTTGTCTTCCGAAAGCACAGTCAAACGTAATTTAAACGAATGAGGCGCCAGAACAGAATGTCCACTAAATGGTAGCAGCCGGTCCCTTTATAGTTGTTGCAAACTAGTCTTCGCGATTCTGCAGCAGCCGAGTCCGTTTGCCTGACGAAGTAGTATTGTTGTTTTAACTCTTGAATCACCGAACGATTCGATGCTGCGTCCCGTTCTAAGTAGACACCCTCCTAAGCAAGGTCGTCAGCTATCTCATTACTTTCAACGCCCGTGTGGCCTTGCACCCTGTAAACGTAAACTCTTCCAGAAGGTTAATTTGGAGGAAAAAAGCATATTCCTTTTCAGCTGGATTTCCCAACTTAAATAATTTGTCAAAATATATAAATAAAATGTCCAAAACTTCGTCATCATTTCCTTATTCAAGCTGTGCTAAAGGGTATCACATGTCCCGTCACAACTTCCGTTAACTACACTTCCTTGCCCAGAGCACTAACTAACCAATGCAGTGAGCAAGTGAGTGAGAGAGTGAGTGAATGAATGAATGAATACGCCTCTCCAATAAACACAACCTGTAGCTGGCTGTAGCAGCAGCAATGCTATGGTGCGCCAATGGCTTCGATGTTGCTGTTGCTGTAGTTACATGGAACTGTTTTGTTTTGCATCAAAAGCGTACCAGCGCTGTCAAGCGTTTCAATTACGTGCTCAATTATTAGCCTTCACGCCCGAAACGAAGACGAAACCAGAAAGAAGGTCAACAAGCAGACGCGCCCACACATACATACCCACACACTTTTAAACAATAAACGAAGTGCCCACCACCGCAACCCTCGGCTTCCACAGTTGCTAGCAGTTGCTTAGACAATTGTTTGGAAAGAAACTGTATGCGTTAGACGACTTGACTGCCTCTGCTGGCCTGCCAAAAGCCGTGCGGACTGTAAAGTCAGCTTTTTGTTTGCGTAACGCATTCAAATGCTTGCTATTCTATAGATATTTTCGCCACTTTGGCTGACCGATCCAGCAGTCTTGTCCATCTAACGTTCATTCTATTCATCTATCTACATTTTGTTCATCTGTCACCCCGTCCACTTTCCGTCACGTTTGTCGATTCCTGCTTCAAATTGAAATTCGTAGTCTGTCTCGCTGCCATGCATGGGACTGGTATTTTTTTTTTTGGTATTTTTCTTCTGCTCTGCAATACAATGCCATCTATTGCGCTTCCTTCGTCGCCTGATCTACCAACGCCAGTAGCTCGAACTCCCGTGTCGGGTGCCTGACCCGCCTTGCTTGCGTGCTCCGTTTGGCATTTCATTTCGTTTCGTTCGAATTGGCACCCAATTGAGATGTCGCTGTCAATTTATTTAGCTGTTACCGTCTAAATCTCAGCCGTAGTGTGACTTGACGTTGAATTTCCAAAATTTCAAATTTCAATGCTTCTATTGCCTTCACTCGCTCTCTCTCTTTTTCTCTCTTTCTTTCTTATGGGGTCTCCCTTTCTTTTGGTCGAATAAAGTTTTTTGTCTTCTCGAGTTGCATTTCATTGCACTAAAATTGTTTGTACTTTCTCTGTTGTTTGTTTCTGTTTATGTCACTTTTGTTGCTGTTTTTGTTGTTTAAGGAAGTAGTATAACAATTAAAATACATTGACATCGGTGTTGATGCCTTGTCGATTTCGATTATCCACAAAAGTCGTCTCAGATTTAGAGAAGTAGACAGTTGAGTGGATTAATGAAAGACAGTTTATCACAACATTTGTTTGAAAACTTCGATTAGCACTTTAGTTTTTGGCTTTGCGGTTAAAATTTCGAAAACAATTTAGAAAGTTTTGATTGAGATTTGTTATATAAAATATGTAAGTTGATCATGGATTCACAGTTAATATAGAAAATGCCAACTTTTGCTACAGAATCAGCTGTCTTATTGTCAACTCTTTGTAGGGCTTTCGAGGGTTAAGGGAACACGTAAGACGACAGTTGCACTCTTCTCTTATTATGAAAACACTTAAAAAGTGGCAGAGAGTTTGGGGGACAGAGAGAGAGAAAGAAAGATAGAGAGGGATAGATAGAGAGAGAGAGCAATAGACAGAGATGAATTTTCTCTTTTTTTGGTAAAACAAAAAGCTATGTCTTGAAAACTTCTGGTTTGTTTCCTTTCCATCTCCTACATGCCATACAGAACTAAACTATTCTATGCAAGATTGACGCTTAGCTCCTCAGAAGTAATCACCGTTTTAAAAAGAAGTACCAAGCCTGACTAAGATAATGAAAGTTTTTTAGTCTAACCGTCAAGCCAGCACTGTTTCGATTGCTCAGAAGCTAATCATTGCCAAAAAAAAAAAAAAAATTTTGGAAATTCTTGAAAAAAGACTGGATGCACAGAGAGCCTTGATGTAGGGATGACACCGTTATAAAATGGACACATTTCCGGAGCGGATGGTGATGAAAAGTGAATCACCTGCAGTAACATCAAATGAAAATGGTCATAACCGAAGTGAAGTGAGTCGCCACAAACGGTCCCAAACCAATATTGACGGTCAGTTAAGTTTTGTTGGATATTTGGCTACGTTGGCAAGGAATCATCCACACTGACTGACGACCAAACTCATAATTCGGAACTGTACGATCGGTAATGAGACCGTCTGAAAAAAGCAAGCGGCCCGCCTTGATAAACAGGAGGAGAATTGCGATTGTGATGCGCCAGGAAGATCCGAAAACTTCGTTGATTGGTCCTTATGCGTTCACCTTAAAGTAATAATCTTGTACCAAGTACTTACTATCTGATTCTGTAAATGGCGATTGAGTTGTCTGGTGCAGAATTGACCTCAAGAGAAGTTGGTGAAATTAATCTGCCTTCAGTCTTCTATTAAGTGCACAAATAATGAATTGCTTGTTACTTGACCAGATAACTAGTTTGGTGGAGAGCAGGTTTTAAACAAGATATATGTATTTAATAGTAAGAAGAAGGCGGTTATAAAAGACATGTGTTGTGTCTAGTCTAACCTTAAATATTGGATTTTTGGACCACAGAAATACATTTTTCACGTTTTGAAATTAGAAGTCAACAAACCAATGGGATTTCTCAAACTAAACTAAGTTGTAATCTAATATTTGTATTAGCAACACGCTAGAGAAATCGCATGAATGCGCCTTAGGTTGTTAGGTGAAACTGTACAGAAAGGGCAAGGAAGGCATGATAAATGAAGATATTCAAAAGAGTTCGCAGTTGGAAGCAAGGACATCAAGGAGTGTAGCTCGCTAGAAATATCAAAAATATAAACCTGAGGCCCTGAAGAAACCATGGTGAAGTGGTCGAAGACAATGTTGAACATTCTTATGAACCGAACGTAGTCGAACAAT